GATCTGGTTGGTTTTAAATTTGTTCTTATATTGCCTTTGCAAATAGACTCTTTTAGTTATACTCTTCAAACAACAGCAGCAAAAAAATGAAAAATAAAAAAAAATATATTGGATTAGAAACCCAAGTTAAATTTATCTAAGGTGTTCTGTCACTTTAAATTGGCTTTTATCAGTGTGCCCCTGCTTATAAACCCTAAAGAAGCACATTTTCTGCCCTGAGCCCTTGATTTTCTGCTTCAGTACCACGGACAGCTCCTCATAAACACAAAATTGCAAGAAAAAGAATGCTTGCATTCATCTAGGGGTCCTCCCACCCTTTTATCACAAAAACATTTTACATGGCAGCTTTTTTAATTTGGAGAAGGGTTAGAGGAATAAAAAATATAATTTCTTTCTTTTTTTATCATATTCGTTCATGCAAGACAGAGATGTTACTCATCCAGATATAATTTAGAAAAAAAAAAAAACTCCATCTATCTGCTCTGTCCTGGCTCATTTACATTCAGGGTCAGGGGGTTGCATGGAGCATGAATCGTGCAGAAAACAGTCAAATTCCCCTAACACAGTGCCAGTCCATCACAGGACTAAAAGACTGACAGGACCCCACAAGCTCTGCCTGCTGTTGGCTGACAGTTACCAACCACTGAGCCAGTGTGCCACCAACAACTTTAATAAACTCATTTAAATTCCACCGTCTGACAGCTTCAGTCTGAAAAATGTCAGTGCAGACAACATATTGGACAAAGTCAGTATTGCAGGAAACTCTGTTTGTTTCTGCATGATTTATGGATCTGCACAAATGCGGAAGATGTATTGTAGACAGTGTTTTAAAAGCATTTAGAGAAGAAAAAAACACGTCACCTTGGTTCACCCTGCGTTCCTGGCTAATGGAATGCTTTTTGTCAACATGTATTTATATCTTATTTATTACATTGCCTTATAAAAGTCAATTTTTAGCAGCTTAAACATCACCCTCTTGTTTGCTTGCACACACACCTACACACAGAGCAAATTTTATAATGTCTTCATATGCTGTGAAGGGGAGAAACGGTATATACACCTCCATAATCTCTTGCTGGTGAGGAAAATAACATTGTTCTAGACTTATTGAAGGGTATTGTTGTGAATTCTTGTTTTTAGTTGTGATCAGACATTTTTATGGGGATTTTTAACCGTAAACGGTCAAAAACAAGCGTTGGAATGCACGACAAGCCATCAATCTAAAGGTCAGAGATAAAACAAAAGTGTAAATTTTGTTTATCCCATGGTGGTACGTTAGAAAGTGATAAACGTAGTCCAGCATTCGCTGCAATGAACCTGCTGAGACAACATGCTGGATGATGTCAGTTTCTGACGAAACGTGTTAATGGAAAAGCTAATGAGTTGTAATGACTTTTCAGCTCTTATCTGTGAAAGTAAATATGGAAGCTTCCATGTGGTGACACAGCCACTCTCAACTGAGAAGAGCTTGACGTTCATCAAGTTACTTTTTAAGGACTGACTGAAAAAAAAAAAATCTTATTTTTATTCTGCTTTATACAGTCATGAAACTAGATTTTATAAATATAACAGCTTTATATCACAACTGTCACTTGTATGTGCATTCACATCTGGTGAATATCTCCAGCATTGAGCAGGATACGTCTTGGACCACAAAGGATGGAAAACTCACATCTCAGGGTAATTTAGAGAAACTAGTTAACCTAACAGTCATGTTTTTGGACTCTGGGAGGAAGCCGTAGTACCCGGAGATAACGCATGCATGCACAGGGAGAACATGCAAATTTCTTACAAAAAGACTCCAGGTCGGGATTTGAACTTAAGATCTTCTTGCACCACTCATTTCCTTTCCATTTAATAATTATGCAGGATTTGTGTTGGCTCATATAAAATCCCAAAATAAAGGTGTTTGTGGTAATAATGTAGCAAAATGTAAGTACATTTGAAGGGTTTTTAATAAAAGAGCTTGCCTTATTGCGTTCTTAATCTAGTTGTTGCTACAAGATTGGATTAGGACCTCTGCTACTGCTTGAACAGGACATTTTACTCTCTTGTCTCCTTTTTAGGGTCCCGTCTTCGCCAGGAAGACTCCCCTCCTCGAATCATTGAACACCCTTCTGACCTTATCGTATCGAAAGGCGAGCCAGCCACCCTCAACTGCAAAGCAGAAGGCCGTCCCACTCCCACGGTGGAATGGTACAAAGACGGGGAGCGTGTTGAGACGGACCGCGAGAATCCCCGTTCCCATCGAATGCTGCTGCCCAGCGGGTCACTCTTCTTCCTGCGCATCGTTCACGGACGACGCAGCAAACCAGATGACGGCAACTATGTGTGCATCGCCCGCAACTATTTGGGAGAGGCCGTGAGTAGGAATGCTTCCCTGGAGGTGGCATGTAAGTTTGATATTCCGTTGTCTTCCTCTGGTCGAAACGGTTCTTTCAGGTGTCCGAGTTGTATTGTGGAGGAATGGTAGAGTGAAGTGACCTTTTATGGGGTGTATGAAAATGTGAAATTGTGTAAATGTTGGATTGAGAAAAGGTAGACTTCCGGTTAAATTAAGCATAACACTTTGGGGCAGTTGTGCTACAGGATCCATCGAAGGTGTCATCTATCATAATCCACGCAGCTTCACCTTCTCGACTGAACCTACCAGCGCGCCCGCTGTGTGTGTGTGTGTGCTCAATGCGTGAGAATGTGTGTGAATCTGTTTTTCAGGCTGCTAGCGAGACCTGTTTGGATGACCTGTTTGAGTAATGTATGGGCAAAGCTGTGAACCGCTCCGGGGAGGAACAAAGACGGGGGCAGGATTTTAACCCAGCTAACTCCCTTTCACTGTTTAGAGTTGGAAGGATGCAGCCAGCTCCCAGCCAGATCGCTCCCTGTGTGGGAGAATGGCGCTCAGGGCGATTCACATTTCCATTATGTGCTAAACTGAGCTGATTTCTTGCCATGAACAAGATGCACACATTCACACACGCTCGGACGCACACACCGATATACATGCATGCACACAATAAAAACAAATAATGTCTGTTTCCTGCTCTCTGTTCTCACAGCTTGGGAATTGCAGGCCAAAAGCATATTGGTTTGGTTTTAAATTCACAGAAACGTTGTCTCGTCTTTGTATTCACATCTTTATCACAGAACAAATATGACTAAGAAGTAGTCTGATGATTTGACTACGGTTTAAAATATCTTTTAGTTCTCTTTGTGAATATTGACGTAACTGACACTGACATATTCACGATCTTACTGAATATGTAAGATAAGAGATAAAAACAATTAACCCAACTGTAATTAAGATGCATCAACCAAGTTCTTTGTGTGCACCTCTTCACTTGGAGTAAGACTTGGTCTTATTTCTGTCTTTGTCTTCGTATCAAATCAAATTCTGTAAATTCAAATGGGAATTGTAAAGCTAGTTCTGATTTGGCTGGGAAGCTATTTTATCTCCAGGCTTTATAAATAATACATGCACTTCTAGTGGGTTTCCCCAACCTTGAATGCAGACAGATTTGTTCTCAATTTATATTTTGTTTTAATTCAGTGTGAGATCATCCTATTGCAGTAAAATATTCGTTATTTTAGGCTTTTTGCTAAACTTCACCAGGATTGCCACTAAATTTGTCTACAGTACATTGCGGGGTTTGATTCTTCCACAGATTATGGTCTCGTGAAGTTACCAGGAGAGCCACCCTCTCTGCATCCCTCCCCCCTCTCTCTCTCTCTTTCTCTCTCTCACTTTAATCAATTTAAACTGCACTCCATATCACATTTACTGTGCATCTTGAGCCGTCCTATCGCATTTGAGGGTTGTGAATAATTTTCCCACTCTCGTAAAGAAGCCACAGACCCAAAACTGTCGTTACAGTTTCAAAAGGGAAAATGTTATGGCAGCTTCACTGATTCCCCCGACTGAATAGAGGCTGAATTTGCTAACACAATGACTGTGTCAGAGTGATTTTGTGGGGATTTGCTGGATCTCTGTGAAGACAGAAAAGCTCATTTGTATGTTGTCACTCAAATTAGCATATGTAATTCTTTTTTTTTCCTTCAGATTAATTGTTTGACGGGAGGGTTGACGTCTTCAACAGCAATACATCTAAAAGGAGATATGAGGTGTTTGAAACCTACATGAACTAAAAGTAGATGTAAAATAGAGCTTTAATGTTTGCCTGTGGGCATCTCTCTATCTGGTACGTTGAAAAGCTGAAATGATGTGAGTCTAGGATGATGTAGTACCGCATGCAGGACCCCTGAAGCCATTCATTGGCTTTCATCCGGCCAGATATATGTTCATAGAACCATTCTGGAGAGTGAGGAGATTCTGAGGGATCAATGATTGCTCATGGAAAGTCAAATCTTACACGCTCTGCATTCTTTAGCTGCTTGGAGTCACCACAGTAGCTGGACGTGATCTTATCTGTTCCAGTGATGCAGCAGTTGCAGATTTTATATAGCAGACTGAAGCTTTGACCTGCAGAAACTGATTTTAGTTTCTCAAGTTCTATAAATAGCAACGAGAGCCTTTATTCTCTACTTTGTCATTTGTTTGTCATATTGGCGTTAGATTTGACATCACAGTATGGGTGTGTGAGAAAGAGAGCAGTTGGTGTTACACAGCTCTGCAGCTTAGCACGATCACACTTAAAACAAAATTAAAACAAAATCTAAGTGATTCAAGAGTTAAAACTGGAAGCTGTTTTCATCATCTACTAGCTACTAGAACTGGTATAGGAAGCATTGCTAAATGCATGTATGTTCCCTGCATACCCTAAAGCAGTAGTGCTTATTTTTTCCATAAAGGCCAAAATTATCAGGTTGAAAAATGCAAACATTTTAACTTATTATTATTACAAATTAAACATAAACTAAACCCATAAAATTTAAAGAAATTAAAAACACAATCAAATTTTTGTTGAAAAGTGATTTTTGTAAATCATTGATGATTTTGTAAAGCGTAAGTGGGCTTTGCAAGAATTAATTGCATTGCTAAAAGAGATGCACAATGTCCAAAATGTTTTTAATCTGTAGTTTTCTATTTTAATCTGTAGTTTTCTATTTTAATCTGTAGTATTCCATTTTCTTTACATAGATTTGTATTCATTTTATTTTTTGTCTATACTCAACAAGAATATGTTACAGGTCACTCGTTCAAAATGCTTGTTGTATTCCAACAAGTTTCCTCAAGGCTGCTTTAGTGTAAACCTTATTGGATTAAATTGAAATGAAAACAAAAATGTATATATTTTCCATTTAAAACATGTTTTAATTTCTTTTTTTTAATATATAATATATACATTATACAAATAGGTAGTTTTTTTCGCCCTTGCAGCTTCTTTTTGTTCAAATACTGCAGAACCATGTCAGCCTTTTGTTTTCTTTGTGTGGTGCAGAATATCATACTTACAGAGATACAGAATCTTCTGACATCTCCAGGGGCGGCAGGTTCTTGCCGCTCTTCCTGCGGCCAAAGTGGGATGGGAGCATGCAGGCAGAAGAAAGTGCTGTGGGGATGAGAGATGTGTTTCTTTAAGAGTACACACACATCTGCAAATTTTCTAATGGGCTGTGGCAATGCGTCTCGACCAGTGGTTCAGAAAATGTAGCAAAACCAGAGGGGTGCTGCTCCCGTGGGCGCGTTTCTGCTGTACAAGCTCAATTTTGGTGGCTTGTCATGCATTTTGTGAGCCTCAGTCTGACTGAAAAATTTGACAAGGCATTATTCACTCCATCTGATGCAAAACACTTCAGCTGTTTAAGATGGCAGCGGAGCTTAAAATATGTAAATTATGCAGAACATGCCAGATAAATCTACAGCTGCCGTCTTGGCAAAACAAATAACATACCTCAGAACATTTGTTTTCCTATTAATTAACTGCTCCTTACAGAGATTTCCATTCATACTCGATTGCTAGTAGAGCCAATTACAAAGACTCCACATCATTAAAAAAAAAAAAAAAAAAAAACATTTATAAATACATTTGATTATATTGTATGTTTTGGTTTTTATGGTATGAAAACCGATTGGAAAGCTGTTGTGTCTTGCAAAAGTATTTGAACGTTTAAATGTTTTTGTCACTTTGCAGCCACAAAAATCAATGTATTTTAATTGGATTTTACATGATAGACCAACACAAAATAATGATATGTCATTTGCACATTTTTTCACAAGTAAAATTGTGAATTTGAAGTAATTGTATTCTTTGGGTCAATCGGTCGTACAGAAACCTTTGGCTACAAACAAACCAAATTACAGCTGCAAGTCTTTTGGGGCTAAACTGTGTTCATTCTATTGTGCATCGTAGCTCAGTACAAGGAATTTGCTTTAATAAACCATTTCAGTGCTTGTTTAGGTGTCACTTTATAGAATTGGGCTCAAGCCTCTTACATGTAAGAAAACATGCGTCTTACATGGTTTCTTACAGGATTGCCCTGTGCTTAGTCTTACCCATCTTTCTCACCATTCTCACCAGATTTCCTGTCCCTATTACAGCATTAAGCTGCTATTTGATGATGGGCTCCAAAAAGTGTTGGTCCTGTCTGACCTGAGCACCTTCCTCATGTTTCCCCCTACACGGCTTAATTCAAACTGTAAACAGAAATTTCTTGTGGTTTTCTTTTAACAATGGCTTTCGTATTGCCACACTTACCCACATTCCATATCAGTTGGTGCATTGTTGTCATGTCAACAGACTCTCCCACCTGAGCTGTGGATCTCTGCAGCTGCTACAGCTTTACTATGGCTTCTTTAGCTTAGTTGACTCTGTGAGGCATTCAGATTTTACAATATCGTTTTATTACGCAACCCTGCTTTAAACTTTAGGCCTAATCTATCTTGTTTATTTCATAACATGTAAATAAAAGTGGGTGTGACCTGACAAATCTGAAAAAAAAAAAAAATATATATATATATGGAATATATTTTACATTCAGTCAGCACAATTTGTTTCCTAGTCTCCTACATATTTGATCCAGTCTTGTTGCTTCTGCCTTTTTTTTTCTTTTCTTTTTTGTAGATTGCTAGTTATGCTTAGTCACCAAGGGACAACATCAACATATTTTTTTATTCTCTCTCCATGGTTATTTAATCTCTATTAAATCTTTTAGTGTGCTGCAGTGGTAGAATGATGGATTTGCAGTGGAAGTGTATCACATAGCTAGCACCAGACTGAAAATGAATGCAAAGACCCTTCTGTGACCTCTTTCTTTTATTATGGAAATAAATGCAACAAAATGAGCCCACCACGCAGAAGAAAATTTGATCTCGACGCCAACTGGCAAATATTTACCATCAAAAAAGCTCTGAATCTGAAGTATTTTCACCTCTCCTGAAATTCGATTTCCTGAGCAGTCACGTTGGCTGCATATTCAACGCAAATGATAACATCGA